AGGGGTCCCATACGTTCGGGCGTTCGGGTTCGGGCGTTCGGCCCGTCCCGAACGCCGGTCACCCTGCTTGTAATAGTGAGCTAATAACTTGTTTTAACTTTTAAAGCACCAGTACATGGCCCCGGCCAAGGTGAGTGTCCAATTGAGCCTCTCCTAAAATATCGGAGGCTCTCTCGCCGTCGATAAAATAAATTGACGGCAGGCGGCCTCTGAAAAGGGGGCCACGCCCCATGGGGCTGGCATGTACTGGTGGTTTTAGGCTCTGAGCATGATTTCGACCAAAAAAAAAAAAGCATGATTTTGACCATTATTTGGAGGCACATATGTTGCAAACCTCAGTTTCTCTTTTATGAGGAAGAACCCCTGTTTGAGCATCTCATGTCTCAGTCTCAGTGTTATGAGGAAGAAACCCTGTTTGAGCATCTCATTGTCTCAGTCTCAGTCTCAGTGTTCTCACGCCTGTTGGAGATTATATGTCGTTGTACTTGGCTGAAAACAGAAGATTTTGCAAATCCTGATTTCCAAAATTGAATATTCTAATTTTCCTGCGAAAAACAAAGAAGGGCATGATGGTGTCCTAATAAATTAATAATAGTAATGATAACATCAGCATGGATGATTTCGAAGCTGTGACTTCGATGTTATTGTTTTAGTTATTTGAACTTATTTGAAGTTATTTCACAATAGAGAATCGAATAGACCCCTTGCAGCAGTGGGTGTAATAAGTGAGCTTGGTGGGCATATGCTGTGCTGACTTCTGGTGCAAAATTGTGTGCCATCACATTGAGCTGCAGGCATGGTAAACATGGCCAGAAGAATAGCGATGTGCTATCTTGTTCTTGTTCTTAACAAAAGGCTATATAGAGTAATGGGGCCTGTAGTGTGGCTTTTGCCAAAGGCATGTTGCGGCTTTTTCCTTTTCAAAGGCTATAGAGTCAGTATAGAGTCTATAGGCGAAGTCTGCCTGTAGTGTGGCTTGTGCTAAGGCCATGTTGCGCCTCTTGCTAAAAGGCTATAGTGGCACTCACAGTATGGCAATAGCATTATGTTTTTGGTTCTTTTCCTAAACTCCAACAACACAGTCTGCCACAGACCCATCATTCTTGTCTTGTCCTTTTCTCCCTTTCTGCCTACGGTTCAATGGGCAGTTCTCTATGTCTATATGTAGTTTGACTCTTGCCAAGGCTATAGTGTTTCTATTGCCAAGCCTGTGGTGTGGCTGTTGCCAAGGCTATATGGTATATGGTGTGGCTATTGTTGAGGCTTCAGTGTGGGTCTTGCCAAAAAGTTATTTAGTGTGGCTGTTGCATAGGGCCTAGGCTATATTACAGTATGGCCGTATTTGAATATCGCTCTACAAAAAAAAATTTTAAAAAAAAAACAAAACAGAATATAAAAGAGAAAGCAGAACGTACTTTCGTTGATTGTCGTGTTGTATCTGTTGATCCTGAACTTGCTGCAGGAACTGTGGTTGCTGGAATAAACTTGGAGGTTCTCGTTGATGAACGAGAGCAAGACAATGCCGCATATGGATGGAAGGTGGGTATAAATTAAAAAGTTTACTATAAAATCATTTAAAGAATAAAATTAAAATAATAAAATCTGAGTTTTTCAGTTCCGAATTTCTAAGTCTTTCCCCCTCTCTTAGACGTTGTTCAGACCTTCAACCACCAGTACATGGCCCCAGGCAACTGGAGAACGTGTTTTCAGCCTCTCCGTAAACATAGGCAGAGGCCGAGTGCCGTAGATAAGATGAGTCGGCGGCGGGCGGCCTCCGAAAGGGGCCCCCGGCGGATAGATGGCATGTACTGGTGCTTTTTTACGGAGGCCGCCCGCTGCCGATTCCTCTTTTTTTTTTTTTTTTGCTGCTGAAAGCTTTTTTTCCCCTATTTCTCAAAAAACAATGAATAACCATGGTTTAACGGAAAAAAAAAAACGTCCTTAACCAAAGAAGAATAAGGTACTCCGAATCGTCGTCAGCACATTCCAGTCCTCTTAACTCCAGGCCCGAACACCCACCCCACCAGCGATTGTGGCCTAACTCAGTTGGTACACCCATGAACTTTGAGATGCAGGCACGAGTTCGAATTCCAACCAGACGCGTGAAAATGACTCTGAATTGACCTGGGGCCGGTCAGTTTCATAGATGATATATCAACGCTGTCGCGCGTTTTTTTCTTTTCTTTAAAAGACAAAAAAGGTTCTCCAAATCTTACATGTCTTTTTGTAGTTGTAGCTTTGGCATAAGTCCCAGTGTTCCAGTAACTACTTCCTCAACTGTCCTTTGTTTGTCTGGGATGTCAACGAAATTGCTAGGATACCTCCCCAGTTGCCCGGCCTGCCTCTGGCTGCCTGGAAAGCTGAGTCGGGCAAGGTCCCAGCCAGGCCGCAGGCAACCACGCCGCAAAAACAAGAAACAATTGAACGGCCATCACACGAGAAATATGCGCCTGTATACGTGCCGGCCTCGTCGGAATGTACGGCCCGGCCAGCACCCAGTTAAATTCAGAGGGGAGAAGAGGACGAAGGGAGGGTGACATCTTCTTTTTTTCTTTTTTTTATACTGTTGGTTTAAAAATAAAAACATCGAAAACATGCTGAAAAAAAATGTATTTTGGGTGGAATCCCAATCCAAAGTTCCAAACAACTTTTCTTTTTCCCTCTTTCTTCAACCACCACAACCAGAGTCATTTTCACAGTTGACTTAGGGTGTTCTTATGCTTGGACTTTGTCAATGTTGAACTTTGACGATAATTGTGGGTGGGAAGATGCATCTAGGGAAGTCTACACTGATGTCTACAGTCACGTGCACAGGTCATTGCATTTACGTGCCGAGTCACTAACTCAGGAGAAAGTGTGCAGATGTGCCTCTGTCAGTAGATTGCTTTTCCTGTGCATTTTTTTTTATTTTTTTTTTCTGTACTGAACTCTCCGTGTGCTTGCTGGTGTCATTTGCACGTCTGGCTCGGGATTGCTCCGTGCAGATGCCTGACCCGCGCCGCCTATTTCAATCTTTGTTCCATTCTCTGATGCTGGGATTTACTGTACTTCAAGAGCGAGGAGTTGCTGAAGTCGATCTTCGGCTGGCGGTCCACGCACTTTCATGGGTGTATGAGCGGTACTCTCACCAGCTGCAAGAGTTGGTGTTGGACCTTCTGATGATAGAGGTGAGGCTTTCTCTCACATGTCTTTCATAATTTTCTGATTTTGCGTTTTTTTTTTTTTTTTCCGTTAATTTTGTGCTGGGGCTGCTGAAGACCCCACCCGGAGGTCCTGTCAGGCCTGGCGGCTGGGCATGTGTCTTAGCACGACTTTCATTCCCACGCACACCGAAAAAACAACCACCCAGCTTCTGATCCAAAATCAGAGATGCATTTTGAATCTCGCGAATCAATATGTTGAACGTTCAAAACCACCTCATGCGAACTATTGAGGAATATGAGAAAGGCTATGAGGGGTTGCCAGTTGCCGTAATGGGCACGGCTTATGGATGAGTTCGAGAAAGGGTTGGGTGCCGTCTTTTGAGGCAGAGTATTCGTCTGAATGCAGATCGTCGTGGAGATGTTCCGGGAGGCCTTCGATAACGACCAGAAGGTTTTGGCATTTAAGCTACTTTCATTCTTGCTGCTATTGATGGACGTGGGCGGAAGGGACAATGTGCTACGTTTTGTGCGAACAAATGGCGAGAAGGTGCTAGTTCCAATGATAGTCACCACCCTAGCTAAGGTAAGCGACCTGGCAAACATGAATTCAATGCTTCGTCCAAATCTCTGCTTTTTATGCCGCTCGTGATTCATGAGGCTTTGAGCCATCATAATGCGTCGTAGTAGCTTAGATAATACTCTATATTGTATGCAGCATAGTATCTTATATATAATGCTCTATGTTCCATGTGGCATAGTATCTTACATAATACTTCTTATCTAATACTCTATATTGCATGCGGCACAGTATCTTATATAATACTCTATATTGCATATATTCGCTCAACCTTCAGAATTCCTCTTGAACCAGATCTTTGACAAGGTGTACTTCGACGTCGTCTACGAGCGGCGTAGCCACGTTTGACGGTAGTCATATAAATATGCTCCTGCTAATTGAACTATCATTTTGTTAAACACATGAATAGACTGATTTGGTAATAAAATTATAAAACTCAAAATAAAAAGAATAATTTATGATTGTTACAGATTGTATGCTTGTTGTAAATTACTAAGTTCTGTATATTGAACTATATTCACACATGATTTTGTAATGTCGGACCGATGAAGACATAGGTGAGGCAGGTCTGCTGCCTGCTTCTTACATGGCATGGATTGTTCTCTTGTTGTTTGTTACTCTCTTCTGTTTACTCCCTGTGTGGATCTATGCCCAGTGCTGTACAGACGTGCACGCTTTCGAGTCACCTACGGGGGCAATTCTAAGCACAAGGAAGACTTTCTCCAGTAGCAGCCGCAGCTTGAGTGTCAACAGTGCATTGAGCGACAAGATGAGCATAGCCTCCCGACCATACCGGGGAGAAGACCTCCAACGTTTTGTGAGCTTCCGGACCCGCGCATCAGTTAGGTGGTTGGATGAGCAGTTAAATGAAATGCTACTCTTTGGTCTCGGTCTCGACATGCTAGATGCCATTCTGAGGTTGGTTGTTCTTTTTTTTTTTGGGGCTTTTTTTTTTTTTTTTTTCCNTTTTTTTTTTTTTTTTTTCCCTTTTGGTTGGTTATTCTTTTTGTTTTCGGCTTTTTAAAAGTTTTTTTCTTTCTTTTTCTTTCCTTTTGGTTTGTTATCCTAATGCTTTGACATTTGAACCGGTTATGCAATAACATGCTACCAGAATCACTTGTATAGCCACTGTGATGGATCTGCGTGTATTACGAATTTGTTATCTTCTTTCCTTTTTCTTTCTATTTTTCAAGCATACGACTACTGGCAGGATCAACCTGGTAAAAAAATTGGACCCATTCCCGATTTTTTATGTCATCCTTGTGCAGGGGCCATGCTAAGCTTCTTTTTTTTTTTTTTTAGATGCATGCCGCCTTCTCCTCATATGGGGGGACAGCTGCATTTACTATGATATTTTCTTCTCTCAATATTTTTCCATCTCACACTACCTACCTCGGGCTGTGCGCTCGAACTGGTCTACCCACCTTCCTGACCTGCAAGGGGCACGATAACCCAACCAGCAAGGAACCCAGCTCCATGTTTCGAAAGACAACCGCAGGGTTTAAGGTCAAAGACTACCCGCTACCTACCAAGGGTTATGGGTTGGGTTCTTCCTGGGGAGCAGTTCCCCGGCTCCTAACACCTGGCATGAGCTGGAAACGTGTTTGTTATCTTGTATCCTAACTCTATCTGCATTTGGTATAAACAAGAAATGTCGGGCACTAAGAAAGCATACGAGTGTGGGGCATTTTTGCAGCGAGGATCATGCTTTCAGTACTGTGAACTTGGCCATTTTCATAGCCAGTCCAGCATTTCACAAACTGATTTATGAACATTGCCACATTGGACGTAAACAGCAGATGTGTGTGCCATCCTGTGGCCTTGAATCATACTTCTGCTGCTGATGAGCCAGGGAGTCGTCCTCCTTCACACCCCCTGGGTGAAAATCCCTAGGCTGTATCAACGCACACTTTCCTCAGGAGTGTGGATGCACTTTATGTTGGATGCAATACAGACCCTGCATGGCAGAACCTGTCATGGGGTACTGCAGAATGATGACCTAACTCCACCCGATAGGGAGGGAGGGAGGGAGGGAGGGAGGGAGAGGGAAGACAACAATAAAGTGAGGAAAGAGGAGAAAGGATGGACAGACAGACGAATGGATGGACGGATAAGCAAGGATGAAGAAAGGGGTGGGCAGGAGGGACGGGCAGATGGACAGATACACGGATGGAGGGATGGACAGACAGAGGAAGTCACAGAACGGAGGTAGAGAAGAAATGAATGAACGAAAGAAGGGAGCAAGGGAGAGAGGGAGGGATGGATGGATGGATGGATGGATGGAGGGAGGGAGGGAGGGTGGGTGGGAGGGAGGGAGAAGGGAGGGAGGGAGAGGTGGCAGGGAAGATGGGAGGATGGGAGGATTGGAAGAAAGCTTGGAGAGACCTGTCACAGTGGGACTGTAATATCTGATGCAATTCAGACCCTAGTGCCAAAGATATTCAGCCGAAGATCTGGATTTGTCAGGGTGCGGTGGTTGGGATTGGCACTGTCCTTCATAGTGTCCCCTTTTTGCGACTTTTGACGTGTGTAACGCAAGCGCACCATTCAAACATCTTCAGCCCCTTTTTTTTCATCGTTAGATTGATGTTGTGGCAATCGCTGGCAACAGTGGCATTGCTGAGTTCTCAAGTTGTTTCGGAATCTGGCAAAAAGTATGACGACGAGATGGATTCAAATTTCAAACATTTACTCACGCATTAGCTATTTTTTTTGTGTCTGCCTTCCTGCAGAGTATCAGCCACAGAGATGAGCACTTCCCTTGTTCCTCCTCCAAAGGCTGTGCTGGCGCTAGGCACAGAAGAGATTCTCTGCCATCTTGCTCAAATGCTTTTGCGTGTCCAACAGCCCACATTTGGAAGGTACAGTAGAAAATACACATTTCCTCTCACTTTCTTTCTCTGCCACCTTCACTTGCTGAATTTCTCCCCTTCCCTGAACCCCCCTCCTTTTTTTGTTTGTTTGTTTGTTTGTTTGTTTGTTTGTTTGTTTTACACTTCGACCTTTTTTTCTTTCTTTGAAGAGAAACTGGCTCCGTATATTTGTGTGGTGGCAGTCCTAAGTACATACAATCACCCTCAAAAAAATTCTGGCATTTCTCCCCCCCCCCCTCTGCCCTCCTTTCTTGGGTCCGAACTCCCCTTTTAGCTTGCTAAAAAGGCTAAAAACCAGTGCTGGGCCGGCAACCGGCCGGTTGAGCTACCCCGGTCCAACCGGAGCCGGACCAGACCCGGGGGGGTGAACCGGGAAACCGGTTTTGAAGAAAAAGTGCCCAAATATCTTTTTTTTTTTTTTTTTTTCTTGGGCAGATTCCGACTGCGCTCTTCAAGAGCTGTCCGAATCCGCAATAAAATTTTTAAGGTACAACATTTTTCAGGGGGCTTCGAGAGGGGCGCAGGGGGTTATCATTGACATATTCAGGCAGCTACGGCTTCCTCAGGGAGGGGTCAAGTAAGTAAGTTCACTTATCCAACCCCCCCGTCGCTGGAGCACTTCGTGGAGTATGTCATTTAATATTCATACCCCACAACCTGAACCAGATACGATGAGAAGAGGTCCTTGCCCTAAATTATAGCTCTTCCAGAGTATATTTCGACAGCAGAAAAGTTATGGTTCCAGCTTTCTGATCGTGGAGGCAGAGCGTTTTCTGTTTGTTGGTTCCTACATAGAGTGAGTTGACAGTCCGGAAGTATCGTGTCTGGCAGTCTGTCCAGATACATGTAGTGGAGCAAGGTCCATTCGAGATAGATAGATAGAAGAATATGGGCCGCGCTGCACTACTCTCGAAATGTGCAAAACGAGAGTGAGTCGTCCGCTAGAATTCGGAAAGATACACCGCCAAGATTTTTGTCGAGAGTAGTGCAGCAACGCCTTATATTTTAGGTCCATTCTTGGGATTGCACCTCGGAAGTATCTTGTCTGGCAGTCTGTCCAGATACATGT